GGCCGCCAGCCGCTGGATGGTCGCGTGGTGCAGGCTGTAGCAGGCCCCGGAGGCGGAGCAGCCGGCGCGGTCGGCCGTGGGGTGCTCGGCCCGGCCCAGACCGGGGCCCAGAGCCTGCCAGAGAAGGCACAGGGCGAAGGCCGGCCTCATCGCGGACGCCGCGTGCGCACCGCTGCTCCGGGCCAGGGTCTGCCCCTCCGCACGGCCTAGGGCGCTCGCCCAAGGGCCGTCACCGCCCCTGCAGCTGGCTGCACCCCGCCCTGCCCTCACCCCACCCCCAGCCCCCCAACCGCCCCCAGTCTCCGCCGGGCTGGAGGCGGCCCGCAGCTTTCTCTTAGGCCCCCCACAGGAAATGTGTCCGGAGTCTGGCCAGGCTTGGCGCAGCCCTGACTAATCCTGGGGTCGGTAACACAGCTGCACCGCTGGGGGCGGGGGATGGGGTGGAGGTGGGGGTTGGCAGGGAACGCAGTCGACCAGAAGGTCAAGCACTCTGCTTAACATGAAAAAGTTTCTCCTGGGATGATGCGTATAGTCCCTACGCACCCTCCCACCCTGTCCCAATCCCAATCCCTGTACCCCTGGGCGTCCAGGACTTAAAGGCAGCAGCGTCAGGACCTCGGATCCCATAACTCATGGGTGAACATTGGCAGGAAAGATCGGAAAAAGAGAACTTGCTTGTAATCGGCTGGCAGCCACGCCCGCCCATTGTGTTTCTGTCCCCAGTGATGGCGTTGAGGTCACAACAATTAATAGACGGTTCCAGCCTTCTACAGCCCTTCTACTGGGGAGAATAAAATCTTGTGAGAAATCTAAACGTGTTCCGTTGCCAACAGAGGAAGCACTGGCTAACCACGGGACTGTGTTCTGTCAAAGGAAACAAGCTCACTGATGTGAATCACTAGAACTCAAAGGAGGGTTTTGGGGGTTTTTTTGCTTTCGTGTTTTGTTTAAGTATCTTAAATTGGAAATGCTGCGCTTCCGTCAGTATTTCTGCCACTTCCATTCGTTTCTCTTTGAAATAGCTGATTTTACTCATTTAGGAAAACAAGCATGGTTCTTTCCAGAATCCTCCGTAGGTCTAAATGAAAAATGATGCCCGCAGGTCTTCAGTGTTAGGACCATCTACAGTCCTGGTGGTGTTTTACCGGTGGGCACTGGCATGTGAGCCACAAAATCCACAGATCCGCGGTGCCAGTGTCTCCACCAGAGAAAGATGAGGGTATCTTCTCTGAATGAGTCACTAGGAAGCAGAATGGCTGGATATCAGTTGATTATTTTATGTGTGGCTATATTGGTTCATAACCTTTTCATTTTCGTTTATTATACTATGTACACTGTTGGGTAAGCACTGACTATAACCACAGGTTGGCAGTTCAAACCCACCAGTCTGCTCACCAACCCCCACAAGAAAGCTGAGGCTCCCTGCTCTAGTAAACAGCCTCAAAAGCCTGGATAGGGTCCTCTGAGTCAGCATCAACTCGGTGACTAGGTTGAGTTCACCAATTTACTAAATTGTGAGAACACTGGCTAGACATGTGATTTCATGTTTGAACTATTTTACTATCCTCTCCTTCTATGATTATGTGCTAACATTTAGAGCCATGTGTTATAACAGTCATCGTTTAGGAGTATTAGACCTCAACATCCTTAACGAATCAAAATGTTTATAACATTTGGAAAGATTATTGTACTCTGAAAAGAAAGAAAGGGAGGGAGGGAGGAAGGAAGGAAGAACTCTGAAGTAGAAAAGATGGGTGAGTTATTTCAGGTACACAGTGCTGCTATAACAGAAATACCAGGGTGGGTCACTTTAACAAAAAGAAGGTTTTTTTACTCACAATTTAAGAATCTAGAAGTCTGACCTTGGGAAGTCAGCTCTAGGGAAAGGCTTTCTCTGTTTACTGGGGACTCTGAAGGGGGCGTCTTGATAGATTCCATCAAAGGACACAGCTGATCTTGGGGGCTGATTGAGAAGTTTTAACAAATTTGAAAGCTGAATTGGTCTGGAAAAGACCAGGAAAATGGCACTCAGGAAATGTTTTTTTTATTTCATCACCGTTATGCACACTCTGAGAGAAGCAAAAGCTATCCTATGAGAATTTCCCTGGAAAACTTACTCCAGTATCCTATAGCTCTGACCTTGCCCTTCAGACTTCTTTTTGTACTGAAAACGTAACGAATATTTCAAATGAACATAATTTTAGTCTCTCATGGATACCAAAATTTTCATTTTGACAGGGTGACATGGTATAAATCAAGGAGCACATAATCTTGGGGGTAAGCGCTGGAGAGACAGGAATACCACTTTCAGGATTACATAGGTTTACTCACTGCCCCTGAGTTGATTCAGATGTACAGTATTGCAATCCCATGGGGCGGAGTAAAACTGCCCCCTCTGAATTTCCAAGAGCAGAGTAAATG